CCCTCTCCCCGAGGGATGTGGGACGACGGCTAAAATCGGAGCCGACGTACGGATCAGCCATGAATGGCGCAACGGGCTCGAGGGGCTGAATGGCCTCCTCCTGTTCCTATGTTGCTAAGGGCAGGATAACACACACACACACACACCCTCATTATAACAGGAAAAAGAGAGAAGCTCCTTTGGTAACCAGAGGATACGGATTTAAGATAATTAGCCAAAGGGGTGACGAGGAGACAATAATTTCACCCAGTGAGTTGTCACGAGAACAACAGATGTCTGGAATAATCTATGGAGGAAAGCTAACCGAGCTTTTACCCCGAATAAAACATTTTAACACTCGGATTTAGTGCGGTGTCTGATCACAGTGAGGCCTCTCACTGCAGGCGGAGCAGCAAACGACATCTCAAGCTGTTAACTAATAACTGTCTCGTTAGCGGAGAAGCAGAAAATTCCTGCCCCCGTGGGTCTCAACGCAGACCCAGACCAACCACTCCCCCGCCCACCACCCCACCCCTCCACCTCGCGCTGAACATCCCGAATATAATATAATAATAATGTGATACAGCGCCTTATCACCTCATCAAAGCAAAGAGAGAGAGAGAGAGAGACTGCGTATATTGTGGGCGAAACGCGGGCAGCTAACTGGCGGGCGTGAGACAACCCGCAAAGCAAGGACGGTCAGTCCGCTTTACGGCGCGCTCGGCAAAGCGCGGTCAGACGTTGATGCGTGAAAGGCCAGGATTGCGCCTCTCGCGAAGCGGATTGGAGCTCGGAAGGATCTCAAAGCTGCCGGAGGGAGGACCTCAGCGGCGGGAGCGTGGGCAGCGAGGACCCGGGTGGCTGACTCGCAAAGGCACGGCTGAGTTGCTTTGCTGGCGCCGGCTTAATATATTCAGCAGCAATTAAAACTGCGAGCGGAGAAAGACGATCTGTCGTGTGCTCAGTGTTAGTTACACAGAAGGGGAGCGAGGCCAGATGTACGCTATTTACATGCTTAATTACCTGCGATGCGAGCCTATCGAGCGGATGAGAGCGCGTTCTCCAGTCTAAGGCTTTGCCGCGCTCCAAGAATCATTATGTTCCGACACCGACACCTCTGACGGGTCTGGATATCTGTTGGGAAATGATAGCATATAGTTTTGGGGCACGACATGTTAAGCTACTGCCAGGAATATTATAATAATAATAATAATTGTAATAATAATCCTTGCATTTGACACAGCGCCTTATCATTTCTTCGAGACGTCTCAAGGCGCTTCACAGGATACACCGTACAGTGTAGTGACTGTGTGTTTTGGGGGGGGGGGTAGCAGGAGGGTGATCGCAGGCACGGTCGGGTGGCAAAGGTGGGGCAGGAAGGTGTGGGTGGTGGTGGTGGGGTGGGGTGGGGGTGGAGAGTGGTCCAGAATTTAGGGGCGCAGGGGTTGAACGGGGCACGAGAGACGGGCAGCCGGGCTTCCAGCGTCGCGTTAGCTGCGCGGCTGAAAACTCCGCCGACTCTCCACGCCACGTGGCCACCGGAATCGGAAGGCATTAGCCCCGGGAGAGCCGAAGCGATCCGACTCAACCGGAACGAGGAAAAAGGGAAGGGCGGGCAAACGGGTTCATCACTTTCACTTAACACAGAGTCAAACGCGGCGGCCAAAGCGCGGAGGAAACACGCGCAAAAGCTGGCGCGAGCAGTCGAACTAACCCGAGCGCGTTAAGCGCATTTTATATAGACATATATAGATATAATCTGCTATATGTGCAGTCCTGTAGCTCAGTGGTTAGAGCTCTCTCCTCGCAAGCGAGAGGACTTGGGTTGGATTCCCGGGCGGGTGGGGGGGCGCGAAATGTTGGGCAAATTTCCGTACTCCCCACACACACACACACACACACACCTCTGTTTACCCAGCGGTTGCTAATCGATTGGTTTTCCAGGGGTTGGGGGTGGGGGGTGGGGGGGGGTTGTAAAAATCCCTTCAAAAACGATCGGTCACTCAATCCCCGGCTGTTTGTGTGGGGACGTCGCTGGGCGCAATTTCGCCCACGGAAATACGCAGTCACCTCACTTTCCGGTGTATCCTGTGAAGCGCTTGGAGACGTCTTATTATTATTACGGAGGGGTGTATTTTGTGGGCGAAACGTGGCAGCCGATTGCACACAGCAGCGTCCCCACAAACAGCCGTGGGTTAAGTAACCAAACTTTTGCCGGGCGTCTGTCACACACGGAGACCCATCACCGTGACCGGTCGGGCGTCTGTCACACACGGAGACCCGTCACCGTGACCGGTCGGGCGTCTGACACACACGGAGACCCATCACCGTGACCGGTCGGGCGTCTGACACACACGGAGACCCGTCACCGTGACCGGTCGGGCGTCTGACACACACGGAGACCCGTCACCGTGACCGGTCGGGCGTCTGACACACACGGAGACCCGTCACCGTGACCGGTCGGGCGTCTGACACGCACGGAAACCCGTCACCGTGACCGCTCGGGCGTCTGACACACACACACGGAAACCCGTCACCGTGACCGGTCGGGTGTCTGACACACACGGAGACCCGTCACCGTGGCTTAAGGGTCTCCAAACCCGACTTGAGAATTCCCCACATCCCCCCACACCCGGAAACCCCAGAAATTGTTGGGATGGAATGCGCTCTCTCTCTCTCTCCCCGGAGGGACGCGCCCCCTGTTTACCTAATTCCGGAGAGTATTAGGCGCAGGTTGGTGAGAGCCAAGGCTTGTGGAGGGGGGGGGGGGGGGAGCCCAGAGTGTGCGTTGGGGGGTAACTGCTGGAGTCTAACCAACTAAACCCACACATAGCTCCGCCATCGAGAGAGAGCGGTCTGGCCAAGCTTTCCCGCTGCTGACACCCTCCCTATTAGTTAATTAGTTGGTTAGTTGGTTGGTTGGTTGGTCAGTTAGTTGGTTAGTTAGTTAAATGCCCGCGCCATCTCAGCAACCCCCTCGCCCGCTCCTTGGCATCATCTGACCCCTTTGCAACCGGCGGAGAGGAAACCCATCGCACCTAATCGTTGCTGAAAGCCGAATCGGCGACATAAATTATAGATGGCGGCGCCGCGTTTGCCTATTAACGTGCGGGGGATGAGAGGAGATGTGGGTTCACAGAAGCCAAAGCCCATCCCAAACACAGGGGCCCATCTATCCTGAGCGACCGCAATATTCTCGTTAACTAATATAATTATTAACGCTATTATCGAATCCGCTCAACAAGACCCCGTCAGGCTTCAACGTCCCCGTCCCCCCCCACCCCTCCATCCCATCCCACATTCCCTCCGCCTCGCTCCTTCGAGACAAGTCTCAAGACCTTTCTCTTCAGCCGTGCCTTCGGCCGCCCGACCATATCCCACCCCACCCCAACACCCCCTACCCGGCTCGGGTCCCAATCCCTGACCGTCCAGCCCCCTCGGGATGTCCTCCCGCCGTGAAAGGCATTGCGTCGGCGTCGCTTTGTACCGGAAATAATCCTCGCATCGGGGACCCGGCGCCTCATCACGTCGTCGAGACGTCTCAAAAGCGCTTCGCGGGCTACACCGCAAAGTGTAGCGACTGTGTCCGGATGAATGGATTACAATTAGGTTGTAATTCAGAGGGAGAGAAAAAGGCGTTGATCTCGACTCGTCAGCCACATCTCCCCACGTCCCCGGGGAAAAAAAGACTTGAAAGGCTCTCGTTCCCGTTCCTTCGTGCGTCGTCAACGCACTTAGCAGCTGAGAGAGGGAACGTGCGAGAGCGAGAGGGACAGAGAGAGAGAGAGAGAGAAACGCGGAGAGATAAAGACACACGTACACACACACGCGTGCACACGCACACAGAGACACACAGATAGAGAGAGATGCACAGAGATAAGAGAAAAGAAGCAGAGAGAAAGAGAGAGACATACGCAGACACAAGCCCACGATATGCGGACAGTCGGACGGCGTGTGAGAGAGACGCGCACAGACACGCAGACAGAGTGAGACAGAGACTTACACACACACACGCGTACACGCACACGCGTGCGCGCAGACCCTGGGGGCTGCTGTGTACAAGAAAGGCTAAAAAGCTCTCCCCAGATTCCCCGGAGACCTCATAAATATCTTTTAATGTTAAACACATTGAATAAATAATAATTATTGCCTTATCGCGTCCTCAAGGCATCTCAGAGCGCTGACTCACACACACGCACACGCACCCCCCGGCTCCCCCCCACCCCCACCCCCCCCCCCCCACACACACACACTCCACACAGCCCCCTCCTCGAGGATAGTTCATTGGTAATAAAATTAATACGCGTGTGCGCGCGGGGGGGGAGGGGGGGGTGAGGGCGGGAGAAAGGGGTGATAGATAATAATGATAATAATATGAAGCCTTGCATCTTATCGCGCCTTCGAGACGCCTCGAAGCGCTTCCCAGGATACACCGTATAGTGTAGTGACTGTGCGTGCGTTTTGAGGGCCAAACACGGCAGCCAATTGCGCCCAGAAAATCTTCTGGAAGATTTCTCTTGATACCTTGGGGTGTGGTGGGGAGGGGTGGGGGGGGGGGGGGGGAGGGAGGGTGGTTAGTCAATAACAGTAAATAGTCTCGGGGACACGACTGCCAAGATGGTGGAGGGCCAACCAGATGGACCTTGGTCTTCTCTCGCCAGCAAATCCTTACGTCCTAGCTTTCAAGTCGCTTTATTCCCTCCCTCCCCCCTCTCCCCCCTCCGTTCGTCCGGCCTCCTGTTTCTCCCTCGCATCCCCCAACCCCGCGTTCCTCCCCCCCCCACCCCTCCGCTCCACCATCGGCGGCCGTGCCTTCAACCCACTGCGCCCTGAGACTCGTCACTCCCCCTCTCCCTCTGCCCCCATCCCTCCCTTTACCTTCAATTGCCTTCCTTTTTGATCGAGCTTTTGTTCCCTCCCTCCCTCCCTCCCTCCCCCCCACCCTCGGCTCGTTGTCAGGCTCCGCCACCCCGAAGCGCCCTGGGGCGCTATTCCCCCATGGGCGCGAAGTTCCCGTCGTGCGCCCTCGAGTCACGAGCCCTTCCCGTTGCCGTGCAGGAAGACCAACATGTCCACGTGCTCGGGGTCCAGGGCCGATCGCTTGGCGTACACCTGCTCCCCGGTCTCCGTCAGGACCCAGGCGGCTGGCGCGGCGGTGGCAGGCACGGCCAGGAGCTTGCGGGCGGCGTGGGCGAGCAGCGGGTACTGGGTGCGGTGGCTCTTCCACCACAGCAGCGGGTCCTGGCAGAGAGCCGAGGCCTCGCTGGTCTGGAAGCTGCTGATCTCCTGCTCGGCCTGCTGGCTGACCGAATTGGCCGAGGCGTTCCTCACGTTGCACAGGTCCCCCAGGAGGTACTCGATGGCCGAGTCCTGCTTGGGTCTCTTGGCCGGGCCGGGGCAGGCCGAGCCGGGGAGGTCGGGCTCCGGGGCCGGCTGGAGCTTGGCCAGTTCGGCTGCTTCCCTCTTGAGGAGGTGCAGGGTCTCCACTCGTTCCGCCTGGCTCAGGAAATCCAGGCCTCGGAAGCGAGGGTCAAGGGCGCAGGCCAGGTTGAGGGTCTGGTTGACCTCCTTGCTGGAGTACCACAAGTTCAAGTCGGCGCAAATGGCCCTCTTGACCTCCCGGGCCAACTCCGAGTCCTTGTCGTTGGGCGCCAGGTGCTTGTACACCAGGCTTGTGATGACGGGCTTGACCAGGGACAAGCCTGAGAAAGGCTCCCGCGTGAAGGTGGATGTGGCGATGGCCAGAGGCTTGAGGAGCTCCTCTATTTCCTCGATGACCTGCCAGTCTTCGGGCACCAAAGCCAGGTTGCTCTCCTGACGGCCTAGACCTTCGAGGAGATGCCTGTTCGCCAACAGTGCCTGGAGAACCTTGTACACGCAGGTCCACTTGGGCCTCCCGCTGCCCAGCGACATCTTGGAGTGGATCCGGAGCAACGTCTCGCTGGAGGTCGGCTCATCGCTGGTCGAGGAGGAGGAGGAGGAGGGAGAAAAGGGTCGCTCCGCCAGCCTCTTGCACCGGCCGAGCACCTTCAGAATGGAGGGCTGCTGGAGCGCCGAGTCGACGCAGCTCTGCAGGACGTTCCCGATGCAGGGGAGAGTCCGCCAACCGGCCTGGGCCGCGGCCAGCTCCGCGTCGGCCGTGCTGACCACCACGGCGTGCGAGGTGCGCTCGCGGACCCCCCATTCCTCAGCTATTGCCACCAGAACGGCCCTCACGGTCTCGGCGGTGGGGCCCTCCCCGGCCGGCCGGCTGGACAGCACCTGGTTCCTGTAATCGAAGGCCCGGTCCACGTGGTGGGCCGCCAGCGTGACGTAGGACTTCCCGGAGGCGTGCTTCCACAGGTCCACGCTCAGGGCACAGTGCTGGAGACCCCTGAGGCTCTCGGTCACCCTGAGTTTGCCCTGGGCGTGCATGTCGGTCAGTACGGCCCGGGCGAAGGAGAGGACGGCCGGCACCTTGTAGGTGGGCTCCAAGACGCTCAGCATCTCCACGAAACCCTCGCCCTCGATGGCGCTGAGTGGGAGCAAGTCACGGACTATGAACTGGGCGATGGCTTTGGTGGTCCGGCCGACAGGCGGGGCGAGGGCTGGGCCCGGGGCCGGGGCGGGGGCTCGGGCATTGGCGGAGGCTACGGTCGGGCGGGGAAGGTACCTCTCGCCCCCCTTCTGAGTGGAGGGGGCCGAGCCCCCCACGAGCTGGTTGTACTCGGCCCGGTGCTTGTAGATGAGGTGTTGCCTGAGGTTGGTGGTGTTGCCGCTGTACGACAGCCTGACGCCGCACAGCTTGCAGATGATCTTACTCTTGTCCAGGATGCGGCCTAGCGAGTCGCCGTGGAAACCGAAGAAGGTCCAGTACCGGCTCTGGGCCCGGCCCAGGCTCACCAGGTTGGGCGCTGGCTCCAGCCCTCCGGGGTTGGGCCCCTCCCGGCCCCTCGGGGAGGCCGCCCCGCCCTGGAGCGTGGCCTTGTGAGCGTGGATGATGGAGGCCACCAGCTCGCTGCAGCTGTACTGCTCTCCTCGGCCTCCCACCCGCTCAGCCGCTGGGCTGTCCGCCATCTTGTTCTGCAGGTCCTGGAACAGCTTCATCAAGAGCTCCTTCTCCCCGAACTCGTACTTGAAGTGTTCGCCTTTGCGAGCGAGCGAGGGAGTGGAGGGAGGGAGTGGAGGGAGGGAAGGAAGGGGAGGGAAGGGGAGGGAGTGAGGGAGGGAGGGGGAGGGAAGGAGTGTGGTTCAAGTCACAAGACAGGGCAGAGGAAACCGATTATTAATGATAATCGTCATAATTAAAAACGGTTGTCAACTCGTCTCAAAGCGCTTCACAGGACACGTGGAAGTGGAGTGACTGTGTGTTCTTTGTGGCCGAAACGCGGCAGCCAATTGCGCACAGCGACGTCCCGCAAACAGTGGTGGATTGAGTGACTCTTATTATTTTTTTTGGGTGGGGGGGGGAATTATTACCCCCGAAAGGAAACTTGCGCCCCGAACCTGCCGGGAATCAAACCCAGGACCTCTCGCTTGCGAGGCGAGCGCTCTAACCGTCAAGTTACAGGGATCCCACAAAGCTATTCCCGCGAGAGAGCCCGTTCCACCACCACCCCCCCACCCCCACCCCAATCACCCCCTACTTTCTTACCCAGTTTGAGCCCTAGGGTCCTCGCGTACTCTTCCCCGAGCCACACCAGGAGCTCAGCCCCGGTCTGCACAGCCTGGCTCGCCCGGTAATAGATCTTGCGACGATACTGAAACACGGTCAGGTTGTGCTCATCCTCGCTCGAAGCGCAGACCACATACCTGGGGTGGCGGGGGGTGGGGGGTGGGGGGGGCACACCAAAAGGTCATCGTCAGAACAATATCACGAAAAGAAGGACCGTTGGGTTGGTGGCCGCGCCTTATCAGGTCGTTGGGACATCTCAAAAGCTTTCGCCCCGCCCGGGAATCGAGCAGCGTATCCCCGTGAAGCGCTTTGAGGGACGTCTCAAGGATGATTACCATCTCAAATTATTACTCAATCCTCCGTCGCTGAAGGGTTTGTCCCGTGAGATCAACACGACCAGAGAGGGTACGCAGAGCACCACCTCGCTGAGCGAGCGGTCAACGTAGGGAGCAGTTCCCTGGGGAGAGACAGGACGGACGGACGCTGCAAATCTCGCGCTAAGTTATACATCGGAGGCTCACGGCCCAAACACTCAGCAAACGGGTATATTAACAATAATGATCCTCACGTTTGATATCGCGCTTCAAAGGATGTAAAGTGCAGCCAATTTCCGCACAAACAGCCGCGGATTGAGTGACCAAATTATTATTGTTATACATATTTTCAAGGGATCATTACCCCCCGGAAAGCGATCCGTCAATTGCCCAACAACCGGGATCCTACTTACTGCTGATGAACAGCGGCGTCTGTGCGTGTGTGTGTGTGTGTGTGTCTGTGAGTGTGTGTGTGTGTGTCTGTGAGTGTGTGTGTGTGTGTCTGTCTGTCTGTGTGTGTGTGTGTGTGTGTGTGTGCGCGTCCCGAGACTCAAAGACAAATACAGACGAGCTCCCAGACTGTCCGCCTGTTCTGTGCTGTTACTGATCTCAGACCCCAGGGGACAGGTGACTGTCTCTAAGTGTGTGTGTGTGTGTGTGGGTGTGTGTGGGGGGGGGTTTGTGGTGACAGGAAAGGTGGGGTAACAAGAGCAGAGCAAGGAAGGCTGTTGTTGTGCTGGTGCAATCTCTGTGCTGGGATAATACGATAATAATAATTATAATTATCCTTGCAATTGAGACGGCGTTGTGACGTCTGAAAGCGCTTCGCCGAGTATACTGTGAAGTGTAGTGACTGTGTGTTTTGTGGACGGAATCAGGTTAACCAGATAGCAGGAGGGGTATGGGGGGAGAGGAAGTGGGGGGGGGTGGCGAAGGCAGGTTATTGGAGTTGAGGTACAGATCAGCCATGATCTTATGGAATGGCGGAACGGGCTCGAGGGGCTGAATGGCCTCCTCCTGTTCCTTTGTGCCCAGTACCGCGTGAGAGAGAGGGAGATAGAGAGAAACACAGAGGGAGTTCAACGACCCCAACATCGGAGTAAAGTACCACTGCCCCCAATCCTCCTGTTTTGCCCCCAAAATAATCATTAAATTATCGTTCATCTGCGCTGAGCAGGAATTCAGAATTCTCTGTGAAAAGTGCCAGGAGCCGACGACCCCGGGCAACCGGGTAGTTATATTCCTTGAAATCAAATTAAAATCAAAGACGTATAATTAACGACTGCAGCGAGTCGTCAGGAAGGGTGGTTGAGGCCAGGACTCTGGGACTCAATTATAAACCAGTTCGACGCTGTGATCAGAGGATGGTTGAGGCAGCTCGTTCTTGAGGGACGAGAGAGATAATAATAATAAGCCTTGCATTTGATACAGCGTCTTATCACGACATCTCAAAGTGCTTCCGAGTAAAGTGAACTGACGGCATATTATTATTTTAAGAAGCTTTCATTATCGCTTTTCCGGGGTAAGAAGCCCTTCAAAACTATTTTTAAAACGAAACAACAATAGTTTGGGCGCTCGATCCACGGCTGTTTGCGGCGGACGTCGCTGCTGTGCGCATCTGGCTGCCGCGTTTCGACCCACAAAACGCGCGGTCACTCCCACTTTGCAGTGTGTTCCGTGAAGACGTCTCGAAGACGCGATGAGGCGCCGGGTCAAATGCCGGGATCATTACTGTCACGTCTTCGAAAGATCTCAAAGCGCATCACAGACTATACTGTCAAGTGAATCGACTGTGTGGGGAGTAAGGAAACTTGCCCAATGTTTCGCTCTGCCTGGGAATCGAACCCAGGTCCTCTCGCTTGCGACGCGAGGGCTCGAACCCCTGAGCTACAGAGGATCTGCTTGAAAAAGCTGGACAGTGGACAATGCCGGTCTCTTGTGAATGTCAGTCACACCTCAGCTTTACCTCATCCAATTGGCCTTTGTTTCATCAGATGCGTCCACATAATAGTAGGACCCGTTCTCTCGGATCTAAAAAAAAAAGAGAACCGCACAGATTCAGAAACAAGACGACACAAAGGCTGGATATCTGAGCAGATTGTTGGGTGTCAATCAAGGGTTTGAACCCCCACATTGGACGTTGCGTCGGTTTGTCCAACTAAGACCACCCTACGCGTTAGTGAGGGCTTTGATGGGAGCTGAGGGGGAGGATTCCCTGCCCGCGAGTCAAAGGCTAAAAAAAGAGACTGAGAGAACGAGAGAGAGAGAGAGAGAGAGAGACATAGACAGCCAGACAGACCGACAGAGAGAGACAAAGAGAGAGAGAGAGAGAGACAGAGACAAAGAGCGACAGAGAGAGAGAGAGAGAATTCTGAATTCCTGCTCAGCGCAGATGAACGATAATGTCTTCTCTGTCTCTCTCTCTCTCTATCACACAGTAACGTCTCGAAGGGGAAGCTAGAGGAGAAACACAGCGATGGTTCCTCACCGCCCAGGAGTACACAGTGCAGTTGCTCCTCTCTGTCACGATCTCCCCTTCGTAGGGTCCAAAGATGCATCCGCGAGGGATGGAAGGGAGGGTACACCAGACCCCCAGGCCCCCCTCAGGTCGCTCCTTGATGGCCAGCCCCTCTGGGAGGGTGAGGAGGGCACGGGAGGGCAGGCACTCGGGCACCAGGGGGTCCGAGACGAAGGTGGGGGACCCGTGGTGAGGGCACGACTCGCGGAAATATAGCCGGCAGTCTTCACAAACTGAGAGCGAGAGAGAGAGAGAGAGAGATTAATAATGATAACAGAGATTAACGGGAGTTCCTGCAGCTCAGCGGTCAGAGCCCTCGCCTCGCAAGCGAGAGGACCCGGGTTCGATTCCTTACTCGACTTCCTTACTCCCCCCCGAACCTCCCCACCCCACCCCACACACACACACCGCTGTTCACCCAGCAGTAAGCAGGAACCCGGTTGTTAGTCGATTGGCTTTTCCGGGGGTAATAACCCCTTGTATCAAATGCAAGGATTATTATTACTTTCTTGTTGGTGAGGGTACATCTCAACCACAACAACAACAACAAATTGCACTTACGCTGCGCTGGGACAGTCGGGGGTTTGGACCCGAGCTGGGGGTTGGGAATCAGGAGCGGGGTGGAGGGCAGGGGATGGCGGGGGGGGGGGGGTAGGAGGGTGACCGAAGGCGCGGTCGAAGAGGAGGGGGGCCTTGAAAGAGGCGAGGGAGGTGGGGGGGGGGCGAGGGGGGGCGAAACGGAGAAACAATAGCTGGGTTTGTTCCAGTGTTCACAAGAGTCTCACAAGGCCGTGAGTTATAGGGAATTACAGGGACTATTTCTTAAGCAAATAAGGCAGTTAATCCAGTACCTGCAACGCCCCCAAACACAACCACAAATGACCTCGGTTGAACGTCTCATCCGGAGGACGGCACCTCCGATAAAGAAAACCCTCCCCCGCTCCCCCCAGCGCAAGCTACACGGGAGCGTGAGCTGAGACTACGGGTTCGTTCCAACCTTCTGACTCGAGAGACCCCCCCCCGCTGGATTTGCTCCAGCGTCAACGACGATCTCCAAAGGTCTCACTTAGTGAATTGTAGGAAAGTGCGGGGGGTTATTTTATAGGCAAATGAAGCCGCTACTGTTTGCCATCGAGGTCCCCAACGCAACCGCAAGTGACAGTCCCGCCTGTCAGGGAAGTTTTCTACAACAATAATAATCCTTGCGTTGGACCCAGCGCCTTATCACGTCTCAAAGGAGACACTGTGAAGTGTAGTGACTGCGTGTTTTGCGGGCGAAACCCGGCAGCCAATGGCGCGCAGCAGTCGTGGAGTGAGCGACCAATCTTCTGAGGGGATTATGAACCCCGAGAAAACAAATCGCCAGTCGACTAACAAGAGGTTTCTACTTATAGTTGGGATGACAGAGGGGTGAGGAAGCTTTCCTAAGGTTTCAAGGGGGTGGGGTACTGGGGCGGAGGGGGGAGAGGAGGTCGAAAGAGGATGGTCTTCAGGCGGAACTTCAGGGGAGAGAGCGGGGGGAGGGGGGGAGGAGTGGGGGGATTGAGGGAGAACCTTCCATAGTTTCAGGGGCATAAGGGCTGGATTGGGGGGGGGAGTGAGGAGGTCGGAGAGGGAGGGAGGGAGGTGAGGGAGGTGCCAGGGAAGGAAGTTACTTGAACACCCAGTCGATCGGTTCGGCGATGGGGAGCCAGCGGAGCCTGGCAAGGGTCGGTCCGGGTCAGTACGCGGAGAGTTGGTGGGATGGGGGGGGGGGTGGCAGGAGTTCTGGACCAAGGCGAGGGATGCGGCGATGACTCACACAGCAGCTCGTCATCGAGTGGAGCACAACCCTGTTGGGCGGACTGCATCTCTCTCTCTCTCCGGCATCCGGCGGCTGAAAATAAAACACACGGGCGGTTAAAATAAAACAGAAAGCGCCGGCCAAATTGCTCCCGGCAAGGTCCCAGTGACAGGCGTGAAGTTGACCGACCAATTTTATCTGGTTCGGGCCCAAGATGACGAGAGGACAAGGCCTGGGATTGAAGTGGGGGTGCGGGGTGGGGTGTGAATTCAGAACGAACCTGAGCGAGCGGTAAAAGAGTGGGACAGACCCCCCCCCAGAGCGCGTCGATTCTTTCGAGAACAAATCAGATAAGATTGCGGTTAGGAAGCAACACCCACTCAAGAGTAACCACGACAATTCCTGGCGTCCGACACAGAGCCCCGTCGCGCCTTCGAGGCGTCTCGAGGCGCTTCGCGGGATATACCGTAAAGCGGAGTGACTTGTGCCTTTGGTGGGAGAAACTCGGCAGCCGACAGCTGTTCGACTGACAACCGGGTTCCTGCCGACTGCCGGTAAACTGCGTGTGTGTGTGTGGGTGTGTGTGGGTGTGTGTGTGTGGGGGGGGCCCCTCTCGCTTGCGAGGCGGGGGGGGGGGGCTCTAACCGCTCAGATCCCGGTCTCTAATAGGTCGGAGGAGCTTTATCCGCCCTCACATGGGGGAGCGGAGAAACTGGATCCAGTGCGAGATCGGGGGACGAAGGGGCAATCAGGTCGACCGACTTGACCGAGTTGGTCACGAGCAAAGAATCGTATCTGCCTTCCCACCTCCCCCCACCCCCCTAAAAAAATTGGTTGAAAGGGGGGGGGGGGGAGGGGGGGAAAGAGAGGGCGGGATAGGGGTGAAAGGTTGCTCAGGGAGGGGAGGAAACGTCATTCCCGTTTTGTGGAACATAATTCAGGGGTGAATCGGGGGGAGGGTTGAGGGCGGGGGTGTTGGGGGGAGTGGAGTCACCTTGGTTTTATTGGCACCCATTCCCCTCCCCCCCCACAAAAAAAGGATGTTGCCTCCGACATTGCAGCGCTCTCTCTCCCCCCCCCCCCCTCCCTTCCCCACCTCCACTGAGCCTTAGGAGGGTCTCAAAGTCCCCGACATGGAGTGGGGAGGGGGGGGGTTTCAACCAACCATCGTGTGACGCACAAGGTGTGGAGCGCTCTACCAACCCGACCCCTTGATGCAAATGATAATGGGGGGGGGTCTTTGTGACCTGCCCCATGGTGGGGCCCACAAGGCCATCCTCATCGCAAGGCAGCTTTAAGACTCTCCAATATTCCCCCCCCCCATATATCCCATTCCCCATCATTAATCACTGACCCTACTCTTCTCCCCCCCCCCCCCCACCACAAAAAAAAGATAACATTCACTGAGGAGTAGGGTTGGGGGAAACCAGTCACTGTTATGTTTCCCCTCCACTACCATCCGCCCCCCCCCCCCACCAACACATATCGATTACATATCAATCAATCACTTGCTGGGGGGGGGGCAGGGGGTCAGATTACCCCCATTGCAAAAAAAATAGCCCCCACCCTAAATAAGTCACAAGCCCATCCCCCCACCAACACACACACTCCAACACCCCCCCACACACACCTCCACACCCCCCCCCCCACACACACTCCAACACACCCCCCCCCCACACACACACACTCCAACACCACACACACTCCAACACACCCCCCCCACACACACACACTCCAACACCCCCCCCCCCCCCACACACACACTCCAACACCCCCCCGCCCCCCCCCACACGTTTCCCCCCATCTTTCCACAACCCTAAAAGGAGCCAATAATCGGCTCTAATCGATTGGTTCGCTCCCCGGACTTGGTTGGGGGGAGGAATCGATTAGTCGATTAGTGGGCGATTGGGGTGGGGTGGGGTGGGGGGGTTCGATACTAATCGACTCACCTGATATTTTGGGGGTGGGGTATAAGGGGGGGTGTGGGGGGGACAGAGAGGGAGTGGGGGTCCGATTAGCGCAGTGTTGAGTCGGAAACAAATCGGATACAAGTGACGCGGAATGTAACCAGTGCCAAAGAGGCCCCGCCCCCCACTGTCCTTCCCTCCTTCCCATTGGCCACCGACCCCCCCTCGGCCCCGCCCCCCACTGTCCTTCCCTCCTCCCCATTGGCCACCGACCCCCCTTCGGCCCCGCCCCCCACTGTCCTTCCCTCCTTCCAATTGGCCACCGACCCCCCCTCAGCTCCGCCCACCACTGTCCTTCCCTCCTTCCCATTGGTCACCGACCCCCCTCGGCCCCGACCCCCTCCTTGGCCCCGCCCCCCCACTGTCCTTCCCTCCTTCCCATTGGCCACCGAACCCCCTCGGCCCCGCCTCCGCCCCCCCACACTGTCCTTCCCTCCTTCCCATTGGCCTCCGTCCTCAGCCTCCCAGCCAACCAGAGGGCTCTCCGGAAGTGGGGGGCGGGGCCGCTAAAGGAGCGAGGGGGGGGGAGTGGGGCTACAACTAATCGATTAGAAGGCGATGCGGCCAACAAATCAGTCCCTTGGAAACCCAACCCAACGTCAGGGTTCCCCCCACACACATACCCCCCACACACACCCCACAACACACCCCACCAACCCCACCCCCCACACACACACCCCCCACCAACCCCCACCCCCCACACACACACCCCCACCAACCCCACCCCCCACACACACACCCCCCACCAACCCCCACCCCCCACACACACACCCCCCACCAACCCCCACCCCCCACACACACACCCCCCACACCCACACCCCCCCCCCCCCCCCACACACACACCCCCCACCCCCCACACACACCCCCACCCCTCCACACACACACCCCCCACCAACCCCCACCCCCCACACACACACCCCCCACCAACCCCCACCCCCCACACACACACCCCCCACCAACCCCCACCCCCCACACACACACCCCCCACCAACCCCCACCCCCCACACACACACCCCCCACCAACCCCCACCCCCCACACACACACCCCCCACCAACCCCCACCCCCCACACACACCCCCCACCACCCCCACCCCCCACACACACACCCCCCACCAACCCCCACCCCCCACACACACACCCCCCACCACCCCACCCCCCACACACACACCCCCCACCAACCCCACCCCCCACACACAACCCCCCCCACCCCAAACCTCCCAAAAATATATATATCTTTTTGAAATAAAATAACGTAAGATTTAAAATCAAAGGTAAAAATGACATTTTAAAAGTTAATGGGGGTTTTCCCCATAAATCTATACACGGTCACAAACCGCTCTTTCTGTCCGTCCGCGCAATCACTTAATTACCTTATTATTTTGTCATGTTTGGTATTGACACACACCCCCACCACCACCACCGCCCCATTGAGTCCTGTAGCTCAGTGGTTAGAGCACTCGCTTTGCGAGTGAGAGACCTGAGTTCAATCCCAGGCAGAGGGCGAAACCTCGGGCAAGTTTCCTTACTCCACACAGAGCCTAATAATAATGCCTCCAAAACCAAAACAATAATAAATTGGTCATTTTCAATCTACGGCTGTTTGTGGGACATTGCTGTGCGCAATTGGCTGCCGCATTCGCCCACAAATATACAGTCAATTCACTTTACAGTGTGTTCTGTGAAGCACTTTGAGACGTCGAGAAGACGTGAAAAGCTCTATATCAAATGGAAGGATTGTTATTATTAGAAGCGCTTTGGGACGTTTCGGAAAGGTGATAAGGCGGCGTATCAACTGCAAGGAATATTATTATTATTATGTTTAAAAAAATCCAAAGGAAAAAATGACAAATTGATCGATTCCTTTTCTTTCCAATTGATTACAATTTATTACGGCGGGCTGGGTGGGGAAGGTAAGGAGAGGGGGGTAAAGATTGGAAGGGAGGGCGTGTGGGGGTGGGGCAGGGCGAGGGCGGGGGTGAAGGCTGATGGCAAAGGAAAAACCAAACTGACAACCTTAGGCAAGTTTCCTTACTCCATACCCACACCCACCTCTGTCTAATTAAGTAGGAGCCCGGGTATTAGGGCGGATAACTTTCCGAAGGTGATAATGCCATCCAAAATAATAATTTGGTCACTCAGTCCACCACTGTTTGTGGCGGACGCTGCTGTGCGCAATCGGCTGCCGCGTTTTTGCCCACAAAATACATGGCCAGTTCGCTTTACAGTGTGTCCCGTGCAGCGCTTTGAGACGTCCCGAAGACGTGATAAGGCGCTGAGTCAAATGCGAGATTATGATGGCACGTCTTGCTGCTCATCACACTTTTGTGTTTTTTTTTTTGCCTCCTTCCATTTCCTCTTGGCAGCTGAGCGGGTACCTGTAAGTGGACCACATTTCTCTCCTCCCACAGGAATGGGAGGTATGCTCTCTCCACGTCTCTCTCTCGCGCGCTCTTTCTCTCTCTCTCTCTCTCTCTGTGCGACAGGAGAGTTGGCACCGGGAATGTTAACCTGTTCATTTTGGTGGCAAGCTACACACCCAGGTCAGACAGACCTCAAGAACTTGCAGAGCAATCAAGCCATTCCAGTCTTACCTCTGTCTCCTCTACATGCTGTGACCGGCATCTAACTCCCACTGTTTCTCTCCGGGATGGATTGCTGCCTGTTACACGTCGAGAACCATCACCCGTGTGACATGTATGGGCAACAACACTCGCTATTCCACACGCATCACAAGACAGGGGAATGTACAGACATCTACCAAGCAGCGAATGATACAGGTAATCTCTTTGTAGAGTCCTGTAGCTCAGTGGTTAGAGTGCTGGCCTCACAAGCGAGAGACCTGGGTTCGATTCCCTGGGCAGGACAAATGTTGGGCAAGTCTCCTTACTCACACATATGCCTTCGTTTACCTGGCAGTAAGTAGAAATCCGGTGTTAGTCGATTGGGGGGTCACTTTGTGGGATAATAGTCACTCCAAAAAATATATATTTATACTAATAAAGACGAAATGTCTGTCAGTTTATGTCTCTCTGTCTATCCGTCAAGAGCACAATAACCAATTGACGTAGACATGATTTATACCTCAATGAAAAGGTCTTGCATGGGGTAGCATCATGGCCAGGTCTCTTACCCTCTCACTCTCTCTGTTCTCACAGACTATAACCCTGCAACTACCTAGGATTATTCTCCTTGGAGCAGAGAAGGTTAACGGAAGATTTTAATAGAGGGGTTCAAAATGGTGAGGGGGTTTGATGGGCTGAACAGGGAGAAACTGTTTCCGCTGGCGGGTGGGTCGGTAACCGGCAAGAGGACACAGATGTAAGATAGTTGTCAAAAGAACCAGGGAGCAGACGAGAATTTTTTTCGCACAGCGAGTTGTTGGGATCTGGAATGCCTCGCCTGAAAGGGTGGCGAGAGCAGATTCGATAACAACTTTCAAGAGAGCAATGGGGAGATATTTGGGGAGGACGGGTTCGCAGGGCTATGGGGAGAGAGCGCGGGGGAGTGGGATTAATTTGGACAGCTCTTTCAAAGAGCCAGCACGGACACGATGGGCCGAATGACTTCCTTCTGTGCTGTATAATTCTATAATTCTACCTTCCATTGCTCTGCCGGTATATGAGTGCGATCCACTCTCTCTTGTCTCTGCAGGATTCACCATGTTCCCGAATGACATGACGTCAGCTCAATCGGAGATGTATTTCAAAGGCAAAGAGGAGGAATTCTTTCCTTTACCATTCCTGCCCTCCCACATTCCCCAAGACACTGCCAGAGACTCACTTGAACTCAGGGAACACAATTTCTTCACAGGTATCACACTGTCGATGTCAGACCCCAAGTTCCAGTTCTCCTAATCACATTGAACACCCCCTTTGCTCATCTCTCCTGCGCTCAGTGTAGAAGGAGCTTTACTGCGTCTCTCACCCTTGCTGAGACCGACCTGGGAGTGTGGACGGACAGCGTAGAGGGAGCTAAACTCGGGCGCTAACCTAATGGGAGACCTGTAGCTTAGGTTAGAGCACTCGCCTCGCAAGCGAGAGGACCTGGGTTCGATTCCCAGGCAGGGTGAGACATTGGGCAAGTTTCCTTACTCCACGCACACACACCTCTGTAGCAGTAAGTAGAAACCCAGTTGTTAGTCAATTGGTAGATCGCTTTTGCGTTAGGCCACAAAATATGCAGTCAATCCACGTGACAGTTTATTCTGTGAAGCTTTCAGACATCTCGATGGCACGATAAGGCGCTGTATCAAACGCAAGGGTTATTATTATTATTAACCTGTGCTGTGGCTGACCTGGGAGTGTGGATGGACAGTGTAGAGGGAGCTTTAGTGCGTCTCTAACCCTGACCTGCGTGTGTGGACAGATGGTGTAGAGGGAGCTTTACGGTGTCTGTAAACCCTGATCTTTGTGTGTGGATGGACAGTCTAGAGGTGGTTTCTGTCCGTCTCTAACACATGGTGACCGTCTTTGTTTTGATGAAAGGATTGCTGGCAACAGTGACAACAAGCCAACAAAGGCAAGAGGCAGAGGTACCAGTTTGGCAGGTTTTTCCAAGAACTGAGCCCTGTAAGTAACCATTGACAGCCAAATGAAACCACAAATGCCAGATACCCACATGACAGCTTCACTAACCTCGGAGATACCAGGAAACAAACACTAAGAGGGAGAGTCCAGATCAGAAAGGACTTTTCTCCCTCATTTGCAGTGCTCAAATACCATTCTTTAATAACCCGGGTTGGATTCCCAGCCGGGCCAAACCTTGGCAAGTTTCCTTACTCCAAACGCCTGATAATCGTCCCTCGAGAAAAAACAAAACAATAATCATTTGGTCATTTCAATCCACGACGGTTTGTGAGACGCTGCTGTGCGCAATCGGCTGCCGCGTTTCACCCACAAAATCCACAGTCACTACACTTTACAGTATATTCTGTGAAGTGCTTTGAGACATCTAGAAGACCTGATGAGGCGCTGTATCAGATGCGAGGAGTATTATTATTTTATTATTATTATTCAAATCAAACTAAATAAGATCCAAACAAGAGTCCTGACCTCAGCAGCCCAACCTGGGGACCATATTCCCGTCTGTTAATACCCCTCTGGGTAAAGAAACACTTCCTGGTGTCTCTTCTGAAATTGTCCATTGGCAGCAACAAGAACAGAATTACATTTGGATATCGCCTTTCAGGAGGACATCCCAAGGCGCTGGACAGTCAGGGATTTGGACCCGAGCTGGAGGTTGGGTGGTGGTGGTGGGGGGGGAGAGTGGGGGTTGGGATCAGGGAGGGTAGGAGAGTGGCCAAAGGCACGGTCGAAGCGGAGGGTCTGGCTCTATATTCTGGTCTGACTCTAAACCCGTGTCCTCTTGTTCTACTGTCTCACTGCATTTGAAAGTATAGCCAACTCTCAGTTGGATTCTTATTCCCCCCGAGATTTTCCCCCTCTCAGACTCTTGCCCCGGATTCTTGCCCCCTCGGGCACCCATCCACCTCAGGCGCCCATCCCTTCCTTGAATACTCCCCCCTCCCTGCAGGATTCGCGTAGCGTAGCGGTTCGCGAGCTCATCTTGCAAGCGAGAGGACCCGGGTACGATTCCCGGGCAAGGTAAAACCTTAGGTGAGTTTCCTTACTCCACACGCACACACACACCATACGCGCACACGCACACGCACGCCTGTTTACCCAGCAGTTAGTCGACTGGAGGATGGCTTTCTGGGGGTAATAATTCCCCCCCAAAAAATAATACTTTGGTCATTCACTCCAAGATTGTTTGTGGGACGCTGCCGTGCGCAATCGGCTGGGCACTTGTTTCACCCATAAGATACTCAAGTCAATTCGCCTCACAGTAGGTACCGTGAAGCGCTCTGAGACGTCTCAACGACGTGATGAGGTGCTGTGTCAAACGCAAAGTGTACATCAAACGCTCCACTGCAGAGCGAATTGACTGAATGTTTTGCGGGCGAAACGCGGCAGCCAGTTCAACCAGTTCTCTGCTCACAGCGTCGCTGCTGGAGAGGTGGGATGTGAGCTCCAACGCGAAGGAGCAGGACAGGGTGATCAAGCGAGGAATGAGGAATTACGGCCACGGTAAGTCTTCGGGGCGGGACCCTGTGTGCTCTCGCCGCACGTTGGTGCACTCAGGCTCACAGCAGGGAGCGCTGGCAGGCTCTGTTAATTGACTCCCGCCTTTCTCCCATCAAAAGGGAGGTGGAGACTTTAATCCGAGTCCCCTCTGTGATAAGAAATACTTCCTGGTGGCTGTCCTAAAGTTGCCCTTTGCGGTTCTGACCCCTTAGCAAGGGTTTGATTCCCGGGCAGGACAGGGTGGAACCTTAGGCAAGTTTCCCCCCTCTCTCTCTCTCTCTCTCACACACAGACACACGCCTCTGTTTACCAGCAAGTAGGAACCTGGTTGTTAGTCGATTGGGGGAATGGCTTTTTCGAGGGGTAATAATTCCTGAAAACAAATGATAATAATTATCATTCAATCCACGGCCGATTGTGGGGACATCGCTGCTGTGCGCAATCGGCTGCCGCGTTTCACCCGCAAAACACAGTCACTACACTATACAGTGTATCCTGTGAAGCGCTTTGAGACGGCTCGAAGACGCGATGAGACGTTGCATCAATTACAAGGATTATTATTTAGTATTATTACCGTTGAACTGAAACAATAATAATGACCCTTACGTTTGATACGGCGCCTGTCATGTCTCGGGAGGGAGGATGTCCCAAAGTGCTTCACTAGGTTTACTGCAAAGCGCAGTGACCGTGTGTGTTTTGTGGGCGAAATGGGGAGACCGATTTGCGCACAGCGACGTCCTCACAATCAGCCACACGTAAGAAATGCTCAAGGAAAAGAAGACCAAGGTCCATCTAGTTTGCCCTCCACCTTCCTGGCACATATGTGCCGAACTACCTGAAAGAAACTTTCTAACCGTCTAAACTCAAGCTCAAGGTATCGCCTCCCGGTTTATTTCTTCAGGCAGGTCTGTTCACCTCTGGGAGTTTGTCCGGGATCTGCTCCTGAATCCGGCAGAGAACTGCGGAGTCCTGAAATGGGAGGACAGAAAAGAGGGGGTGTTTCGCGTGGTGCACTCCCACACCTTTGCCCAGCTCTGGGGAAAGAGGAAGAGCAACTCGGGGATGAACTACGAGAAGCTGAGCCGAGCTTTAAGGTACAAGAAAGGGAGCGGTGGGACACGATAGTGATAATAATCCTCGCATTCGATGCGGCCCCTCATCACGTCGTCGAGACGTCTCAAAGCGCTCCACAAAATATACGGCAAAATGGATCGCATGGACGTGCATTTTGTGGGCGAAACGCGGCAGACGACTGCGCGCGGCAGCGTCCCCCACAAACAGCCGTGGGATTGGAGTGACCACATTATTAGTATTTCATTTATTTTTTGAGGGGATTATTACTCCCCCCCCACACACCCGCCCCCGGAAAAGTGAGCCACCGATCGACGAGCGCAGGGGTTCCTGCTTACTGCTGGGCAGAGGAGCACGTGTGCGCGTGCGCGCGCGGAGTAAGGAAACTTACCCAATGTTTCGCCCTGCCCGGGAATCGAACCCAGGTCCTCTCGCTTGCGATGCGGGCGAGGGCTCTAACCCCCGAGCTGCAGGCGCTCCACATACCGACGTGACAAACAGCGCCTTATCATGCCGTTGATACGTCTTAAAAGCGCTTCACAGCATATAGCGAACGTGTATTCTGTGGGCGAAACACAGCAGCCGACAAGATTCTACGAGCCCAAACTCTCTCGTGGTGGGCTCTGAGTTTGACCCCCTTCCTCCGACAGACACTACTACAAATCGGGAATTCTGGAGCACGTTGGTCGGCGTCTGACATACAAATTCGGAGCAAAGGCATCCGGGTGGCAGGACAGCGGGTTCCAGTGAATTCAGAACTGCTCCGCTAGTCTGCGAGCACTGGAGCATCAGCTCAGACTGCGAGCTCAAAGCCCTGCTTTATCTTCGAACCGATGGGCTCTCACCACCCGACGGACCCTCTTCGTTTCCTCCTCTTCCCCACCACACGCCCCTAACATCCCGCCCGCAAGTGAGAACGAGGAAGTTTCAGGGGAGGACCTGTCTGAGATGAGCAGTCCCCGATTTCCCCCATCGAATCGAGAGCCCACATCATCAGAATAATCCGTGCATTTGATACAACGCCTCTCATCACTTTCTTGCGACGTCTCAAAGCGCTTCAGATTATACTGTAAATGTTTTGTGGGTGAAATGGAGAGATGTTCCGAAATTCTTTACGACAGCATTTTTTTGGGGGGGGGGGGGGGTGGGGGGGTAAAAAGAAAAGACTATTCCAGGAACATTCTTCAAAGAGGACTGTGCTGTTGCTTGGCTTCGCTGGCCAATCGGGACTGAGTCGTTGAATGAGTTCCACACGGACTTGCACTTCCTCGGAAGGGAAATCCCTGACAGTAATCAGACGTAAGTCACGCCAACCCTCGGGAACTCAGGATCCAGCCTCTTCCGACCTGGAGTTTTGCCAGGAAGGCTAACGGAATTCATCGAGACCTCCATGTCTCAGTTCTTCAGTGAATAAAGGACTCATTGTGTGGTTCAAGCGCTCGAGCGCATTGGAATTCTTATCTGTGTCTCGGCATCTTGTCACGTCAACAACAAAATTACATTTATAGAGCGCCGTTCACGTCGGGAGGATGTCCCAAAGCGCTGAAGAGTCAGATGTCGGGGCTCGAGCGGGGGTGGGGGGGGGGGGTTGGTGTAGGGGTGAGGGAAGGCAAGAGAGGGGACCGTGGGATGGAGTTCCAGAGTGTGGGGACAGAGAGGCTGAAAGCCCGGCCACCGATGGTAGGGCGGGAGACATGGAGCAGCTGGAGCCCGATGAACGGAGGGAGCGGGCAGGTGGGTAGGGAGTCAGCCGTTCAGAGGTAGGAGGGGGCGAGATCGTCGAGATGCCTCAAAGCTCTTCACGGGATTTTACTGCATCGCGGTGTGACTGGGCGCGGGCTGGATACCATAAGCCTTGCAGTTGATACAGCGCCTTATCAGGTGATAGGTACTTAGCAAACATCCCACGGTTGCGCGGCCGAGATCGCGAGCTCGAAGGTCCCCGACAATCTGAGGCCTTAAGCAAACCTCAAGCTAAAAAAAAAAACAGGGGTAACGGAGGGGGTGAGTGTCGGGAGCGAAATGAAGCAATATTCCGTTTGACGTGGATTCCAGGATCCAGTCAGTTAATACCACAAGCCATTGAATCCTACAATTGCATAGCTCGCGGTCAGTCACATACCATGTACTCAGTCACATAGCTTTCACTAAGTCCCCAGCAGCGTACCAATGCCCCACATAGACACACATCACCTCTGCTTCCTGCTGTTTCGAAATCCTTACACCCTCCGCAACATATTTAAGAGCTTGGCATTAAGGCCAGACCCCAGCAGCCGGCTCTGGCCTGACAGGAACACTGGGCGTGAAAGGTCCGAGCCTTGTCAGACCAGCTCAATCATCATAACCCTTGCGCTTGATGCCACCCTTTCTCTCGCCGCCGAGACGTCTCAAAGCGCTCTGTGGAGTGGAGTGGCTGTGGATCTTGCGGGCGAAACGCGGCGGCCGATTTTGCGTGCAACTGCCCCAGTCGTGGCAGTCATTGGCACCATTGGCAGTCAGTCCTACAGCCTCTCTGCCCCCACCCTTTGGAACTCCATCCCACAGCCCCTTCATCTCAACCCCCTCCCGCGCCTCCTTCAAACCTCGTCTCAAGACTTTCCTCTTCGATTCGGTCACTCCCTGTCTTGGCCCCCACCCTGATCCCAACCCCCCCAGCTCGGGTACAAATCCCTCTTTCCAGCGCCTTGGGAAGTCCTCATCGTTGAACCAAACCCTCTCTCCGCATCCCCCCCACCCCCCTTATCACAATTCAGGCAAAAAATCCAACAGACTGAACCCATTCCACGTGCGCACAGCAAACAGCCCGACAGTAAAACATAACAAAAAAAAATCTACGCGGAGTCAAATCGGGTCATTGAACGCAGTCGTTGCACTGCAAAACCTCACTCCCGATTTCACGACCCACAAACAAATGCCTTGTGAGCGAATAATCTACGTCCCCATCCAAATTGAATCAAGTGATTTCCATTCAGGATAGCATCTCGGAGCACGAAAAACCAGCCCGACGTGGAAGCTGAACATCAGCTCTGTGGGTAAACAGTCAACACGTGAATCACATGCACCTTATTCACCTCAGGTTGTAACCCTCCCCCCACCCACACACACACACACAGCCCTCCGTAAAACACGTCTAAATATAGTATACATTGAGTTGAAACCTGAAGCCGAGCAAATCAAGAGTTACGCAATGGGTTACTTGGGATATTGCTGCCTCCGCGCATTTCGCTGCTAATCTCGCATCTGGGTAATGCCAGCCATGTGCAGAAAATAAATTCAAGCCTACCCGACCGACCAATTGCCTCATTTCCCCCCCCCACCCACCCACCGCCCGCGTGTCTTGCACCTCAGTGTTAAATACAACACAGTGTTTTACACTTTAGCGGCCTTTAAAATACGTGGTTCGAGTTCTCCGCCTGACTGACTGACTGACTGACTGAGGAACGTCCCTGAAGCCCTTCGAACACTGCCCGTTGCCCTTCAACCCGTCTGATGAGTTGGCGTCGGCCGCTCAGTTTCGTGCAATCCGGCGCAATACGCCTTATGCTTGGTGTGGCGTGTTTTGCGTCGGGAGGACGTCTCAAAGCTCTTCTCACGCGATTTACCGGGCGGTGCTTTTTGTATAATGACAATAATAATAATAATTGCATTCGATACAGCGCCTTCTGGAGGACTCAAAAGCGCTTCACGGAACGCGCTGTCAAGTGAATTGACTTGTGTGTTCTGTGGGCGAAACCCGGCAGCCGATTGCGCACAGCACCGTTCCCCCCCCCCCCACACACACATATGCAGCCGTGGCTCGAGTGGCCCAAGTTAGTATTTATTTACTTATTTGAAGGGGTTATTATCCGCCAATCGAACGACAACCGGGTTCCTTCTCAACGCCACGTAAAGAGGCGTGCGGAGTAAGGAAACTTGCCTGAGGTTTCGCCCCCCCCACTCCCCACACCCCTCGCTTGTGAGACGAGCACTGTACACAATAAGGGGGGGGGGAGAGATTGCGATTTCCATTCCAGACACAAGGACATTTCCCTGGGAAAGGCGAACAAAGACCGAAGTGGGGTGGGGTCGGAGTGGGAAAGGGGAGGGGTGGGGGGGGGGGTCGAGCCCAAGCCATTTGGGAGGGGGGGTGCTGGAGGGGCCACTCGCCGCAGAGCGGAGGTGTTTGTCTGCCGTGCCTCCCAGCGGCTGGAGGGTGTGAGTCACCCGCAAATCACTGCCTTCCCCCTCGGGTGACTCCTGGTCCGTATTGAGCGGCGGCTCGCTGGCGCCAACTGGTGGGTGGCCCGAGTTACTGCAGACGGACATCTTACAGAAAACCCCGGAGGACGTCCATCGCTCTCTCTCTCTCCATCTCTCCGTCTCTCCGGATCACTCGGATTCACTGTTCATCAAACATCCAAGTCACTCGGTCTTGGGGACTCATCCAATTTCGCCGTTTACATCGAGGAGTGTTGCTGTTTACCAAAACACGGCCATCTTCCTTTTCCTCCCCACATGCAATGGGGAGGGAGAGGGGAAAGGATGTTTTTCCATCAGTTACACCTAAACATACACGCACGCACACACACGCACGACACGCACCACACACACACACACCACACACACACGTTATCTCCCACCACCGCCCGACCCGCCTCCGCCTCCCCCTCCTTGCCCATTCGGGTCTTGTGCCCCCGACATCATCAGGAAGATCACGATGGGAACGATATACATCCACTGAGAGAGAGGGAGAGAGGGGGGGGAGAGAGGGAGAGAGAGACACAGGGTTAGAAAAATAATCTCTTTACATTTCATACAGCGCCTACAACATCCAAACTCTGTAATAATAATAATCTTTGCATTTGATACAGTGCCTGATCAAGCTAGGTAAACGGAGGGGTGTGGGGTAAGAAACTTGTGCAACATTTCGCCCTGCCCACACGGGAATTGAACCCAGGTCCTCTCACTGAGCTACAGGACTCCATAATCTGGAGCACGGTTAACCAATACACGAGGACCCATGAGCCAGGCTCGCTGGATGTTCCCTGGGACTCTGGGATCCCTGATGATGACAGACCAGCCAGTCAGGCTCATCAGCAGAGATAGACCAGTCTGCCTTTGGGACTAGGAATACCCCAACGCACACTCTGGGCTCTCCCAAGCCTTGGCTCTTGCAGGGTGAATCAACAACGACGACAAATGACATTTGCGCAGCGACTTTCACGTCAGAAGGACACCCCTAGGCACTGGACAGTTAGGGATTTAGACCCGAGCTGGTGGTTGAGATCAGAAGGGGTGGAGGGTGGGGAGTGTAGGGGTTAGGAGGGTGACTGAAGGCATGGTCGAAGAGGAGGGTCTTGAGATGGGTCTTGAAGGAGGCGAGGGAGGAGAGAGGTCAAAGGGACTGTGTGATGGTGGGAAATATAGAGTCCCAACAGCAGTCAGACAGTTGTTAACCTCAGGCGGGTTACCACATGTGGTTTCAGCTCCCATCACTGCTGAGCTCACTTATCCCAACCCCCTTCCCAACGCCAGCAGCGTCCCTGTCTAACCGCAACTCTTCACCGAACTGACAGAAAGCTGACAAGGAGTTTGAGATCATCGCAATGGCTTGCCAGAAGTATTTTTTCTTTTCTTAAAAAGCAAGGCAGGGCCGGGCAGCGAGACTTGACAGCTTCAAATAAACCTCCAAACCTTCTCACTTGCACACCTTCGCTGGTCCAAACTACCGTATTGTATCTAATCAACAACAAATGCCATGTTGGCAGTGGGTTAGGAGGTCACAGAGGTAGGGAGGAGCAAGGCCGTGGAGGGCTTTGAAGGCGAGGACCAGGATCTTGAATTGTATCGTCTGAGTGATGGGGAGTCAGTGGAGTCGGGCGAGGATGGGGGTGACAGGGTCGCGGAGCTGCAGAGTTCTGGATGCTCTGCAGCCTGGGGAGGGAGGAGTTGGGGAGACCGACGAGCAGGGAGTTTGCGTAGTCGAGCCTGGATGTGATAAACACCCTCCTTAACAGCAATAAGGAGAGAGCCATTAAACACAGCAAAGCACCTCATCCTAAAAGGAACAGATGAATGTTTAAACACTGTTTGAAAGCAATATTTCCGTGTGTTGCCCCAGATTCTGTCAATGCAAACGCTAAATAAATCTGTAATGTTCAGGCTTCTAATGACTCACATATTTCTGTGGTGCGCATATAAACACACACAGAAAAACACAGCAATTTGCGCCTCTCACACAGGGTAAGGTCACACACACACACACACACACACACACACACAGATACACACACACATTGACACCACACACTCTGAGCTGGAGTCCTTGCCCACGCATTGCGGAGTTTACGACGGCGTTACATATCTTGCTCTGGTTACTCACATATTTTGCGATGAAAGACTTCTGCTCTTGGGGGTTCTTGGCTTTCTGCGCCTGCTCATGTTCCAGACGCTCAATAAACGCTGCTGTCTCGGGCCTGAAACACAACAACACACCCTTCAGGACAAATCAGGTCTGTGTTTAGATCAGACCACCCAGTTTGTGAGAGGGGCCCGATCAACAGTGACTGAGGGACCTCACACCCTTTGTGGTTTTGCCTGACAATGCAGGGATGCCCCCCCCCCCCGCAACTGGAATATCAGCCTGGATATGGGGTCGTGTCCCGACATGGGGACTGAACCCACAAGCAGAGCACAGAGTGCTGCATTGTTGACAAAGGCAGTTTGGCATACATGTATACGTGTGCTTACACACTCATACACACTTAAATACACACGCAGCTACAGACACGCGTACTCAACCACCCACAGCCACACACGTACACACTCAAATACCTACAGCCCCACACATACACTCTCAAACAGCCACACACACACACACACTCGCACACATACACAAACCCGCGCAGGCACACACGTACAACAACTACTTGCGTTTATAGCGCCTTTCACGTAGGGTAGCAACCCGGAGTGCTTCACACAGACGCAGGCACACAAATGCACACACACACTCAAGCAGTGTGTGTGGACTGTGCTCACAGTGGGTACTCACGCTGGAGCTGTCACTGGCAGCATCAGCTGCACAGTGGTGTTGAACAGTTCCAGGTCCACGTCCTCTACCTCAGCCCCGCTGCAGGCCCCCGGGATGGTGACAATGGAGACGCCAATCACACTGCCAGACACGTCGGTGTTTACCGCGATCACGTCAGAGAGGTGGGACTCCACCAGGGAACACTGCCGAGGGCAACAGAACGATCAGGGACTGAGCATTTCCAACTGAGCCATGTCAACAGTCAATAACAGCAGCTTGGTCAGTAACTGCAACCGCTTGCATCACAGGCCTCTGCTTACCAGCACTAAGTCTGAACCCGGTTGTTAGTCAACTGGCGGATCGCCTTCCGGGCAAATACCAAATAATTTGGTCACTCGATCCATGGCTGTTTGTGGGGGAACGCTGCTGTGCGCAATCGGCCGCCGGGTTTCGCCCACAAAATACACAGTCACTTCACTTTACAGTGTATCCTGTGAAGCGCTTTGAGGCGTCTCGAAGACGTGATGAGGCGCTGTATCAAATGCGAGGATTGGTATTATTTTTATGATTATCGTCGGTGGGGGGGGGGGGGGGGGTATAGAGCACGAGGGAGTGAGCACAAGCCAAGCAGAGCAGTCTAATGTACCATCTCTGTGGGGAGGACATTCCACACAACACTACGAGTGGGACACTCGCAACTCGATCCCTGGGAGACAGGGTAGCCATATCCAGAGAGGGTCATGAAATGGACTCCAGCATCTGCGGCTGGTACACAGCCCCAGTCCCTTCTCTACTAATATGGGAGTGTAAGGGGGGAAAACACAGTAAGAAAAGATAGGATACAATCTCTTAACTATGTCACAGGCTAAATATACCCGGCTGGTAAACAGAAACCCCATGATATCATCGTCCTGCTGTAAGGGAGAGTAGACTCCGCTTGTTAAATCAGCAGTGAAAAAGATACTCGCTTTCACAGACAACCACTCGCACTCTACAGAGGGCTGATGTCCTCTAAACCCACCCGTCTTCTCGTGGGTTTCATGAAAATAATACTAATAATATGACTAGTACTCCCACTAACAATCCTTGCCACTTGAGATGGTGTTGTGACGTCTCAAAGCGCTTTGCAGCATCTACTGTAAAGTGTAGTGACTGTGCATTCTGTGGGCGAAACACGGCAGCCAATTGCGCACAAGCAGTGTCCCACAAACAGACGTGGACTGGAGGAGAGAAAGGATTGCCTCTGAGTTGCTCCCCAGGGAACTCATGTTAACATTTTTCACCACTTTCACCCCCTCCGCCCCACCCCCAAGTCATCTCCCCATCTCCCTCCTCGCTCAGCTTCCGACCCAGTCACCGTGTAGCGCTCCGAGACATTTCCCTACGTGTAGGGCCCTATCCGCACACACACACACACACTCGCGCTGCGCCGCAAATCCTGTGAAGCGCCTTGAGACATTTCGACGAAGTGATAAGACGAGGGTTATTCACAAAGAAGATGAGGGAGGGAGGAACTTACAGTGGCACAGCACTGCCACTAGGGTACAGTGTGCACTCATGCACTCGTTCCAGGTCCTGTACATTGCCTCTTCCAATGTGGGTCTCATGTTACGTCCCAACAAAGTCCCAACAAGGCACGATTTGTTCTGTGTAACACCCAGACTACATTGCCTTTATGTCTGTAAAAGTGGCACCCCCGAACCGCGCCCCCCACCCCCGTCCCCCACTGCCAGCAGTAAGCTTATCTAAAACAACAACTTGCATTTACACTGTGCCCCTCACGCAGGGCAGAGTCTCTGAGCGCTTGACAGTGGCGGCGCCCGATGCCGTGCTGGGGGGAGGGGGCCGTAAGCACAGTCGCAGTGAAAGGTCTTCAGTCGAGATCTAAAAGAGGGGAAAGAGAGGGAAAGGCAGAGGGATTGTTGGGGGAGAGAACATAAGAACGTAAGAATTAGGAGCAGGAGGAGGCCATTCGGCCCCTCTAGCCTGCCCCGCCATTCAATAAGATCATGGCTGATCTATTCTAACTCCACCGACCCGCCTTATCCCCATATCCCTTAATCCCTTTATCCACAAGAAATCTATCAATCTCAGTCTTGAATATGTTCAAGGACTGAGCATCTACAGCCCTTTGGGGTAGAGAATTCTATAAATTCACTACCCTCTGAGTGAAGACATTTTTCCTCAACTCAGTGCGAAAGGGTTTACCCCTCATTTTAAGACTGTGACCCCTGGTTATAGTTTCTCCAACCGGGGGAAAAAGTCTCCCACTATCTATTCTGTCGTGCTCCTTAATAATCTTATAGGTTTCTAAAAGATTACCTCTCATTCTTCTCTATTCTAGAGAATATAGACCTAAATTGCTCAACCTATCCTCATAACTCATCCCCCTCATCCCTGGTACCAACCCAGTGAATCTACGTTGTACTCCCTCCAAGGCGAGTACATCCTTTCTTAAATAAGGAGACCAAAACTGCACACAATACTCTCGGTGCGGTCTCACCAGAGCCCTATACAGTTGCAGCGAGACTTCCCTACTCTTATATCTTAACCCTTTTGTAACAAATGACAACATACCGTTAGCCTTCCTAATCGCTTGCTGCACCTGCAAACTAACTTTTTGTGACTGGTGTACGAGGACACCCAAGTCCCTCTGAACGCTAACGCCATCTTGTCTCTCCCCTTCTAAAAAATAATCTACTGTTTTTGCCACCTCACACTTCCCGACATTATACTTCATCTGCCACCTATTTGCCCACTCGCTGAGCCTCTCTATATCTTGTTGCATTTTTTTAATGTCATCCTCGGTGTTTACTCTCCCTCCTAGTTTAGTGTCATCCGCGAATACATTAAGTTCGATGTCCTCATCTAGATCGTTGATGTAGATTGTAAATAGTTGAGACCCAAGCACTGATCCTTGTGGCACTCCACTAGTCACATCCCGCCAATCCGAGAAGGACCCGTTTATCCCTACTTTTTGTTTTCTTCCCGTTAGCCATTCTTCAATCCATGCTGATATATTTCCCTTAATCCCATGGGCCCTAATCTTGTGGATCAACCTTTTATGCGGCACCTTATCGAATGCCTTTTGGAAATCTAAATACACTACATCCACTGATTCCCCCCTATCTAATCTACTTGATATGTCCTCAAAAAAATCTAAAAGATATTTGTTAAGCATGACTTCCCTTTTGTAAAGCCACGTTAACTCTGTCTAATCATATTGTGATCCTCTAAGTATCCCACTATGACTTCCTTAATTAAGGACTCTAGAATTTTTTCTACCACCGATGCCAGACTAACTGTCTTCCAAAGTTCCAAAGCTTCGGGGCGTAGTGGCTGAAAGTGCGGCCGCTGGCAGTGGAGCGGAGTTGTGGGGACGATTTACGAGAAGGGAGGCTGGAACCAGCCGAGCAGAGGCTGCGGTTAATGGGAGTAGAGAGAAAGCGGGTCAGAAATATAGGGAGGTACCGGGCTGTGAAGAGATCTGTGTGTGTGATGGAGTCACCCAGCGAGGCAGTGCAGGGAGATACAGTCACCAAATTCAAGGGGGAAACAGATAGCTGTTTCGGGAAGAAACTAAGGAACACAAGAGACTTAGCATCAGATTTTACTTTAGTTTAGGGATGAACATCACAAGGTATTTTTCGCTCCACTGCATTCCTATATTCCTATATAAGTCTCTGTTTCACTTGCTGGATATCAGTAACAGCCAAGGGAGTAATATCACTGGTAAAGGCGACTGACATGAATAGCAGAGCTAATATTTCCCACAAAACATGAGCTCCGAAGCTAACGTTACCACTTGGGGCCTGAAGGTATGCTGTCCCGAAGAAACAGACCTAATAAATACTGGATGAGTACTGGCGGAATTAACTCTTTAGTCACAAGTTAGAATGCACAGTCCTGTTTAAGGTATGATTAAGCCTCGCATTTGACACAGCGCCTTATCACCTCATCGACACGCCTCACAGGACTGCACAGGGGGACTTTACTGTAAGGCCTGTATTTTGTAGACATTTAAATGTTTTACGTTCTCTATGTCCTCCCCCTGATTTTGTGGCAGGTAATTTGCACCCAGCAAAGTCCTCTCGAACAGTAGAATCATAGAATTTTACAGTGCACAAGGAGGCCATCGTGCCTGTGTTGGCTTTTTGAAAGAGCCACTAACTAACTAGTCCCACTCCCCCGCTCTTACACCATAACATTCTTCCTTTTTAAGCATCTATCGAGTTCGCTTCAGTGATGAAGTGAATGGCCGATCTTATCTGGGAGAATTATCGACCAGAGGCGCCTCTGTTAACCTGGATCAGTCGATAGCACTCTCACCTCTCAGTCAGAAAAGTGTGGATTGAAGCCCTATATTGGGGCTCCGAACACAGTCTATATACATGATAATAATAATTCTTGTGTCTTCGAGACGTCTCAAAGTGCTTCACAGAATATACGGTAAAGTGAATTGACTGCATTTTTGTGGGCAAAACGCAGCAGGCAATTAATTGCAAACAGCAGCGTCCCACAGACAGTCATAGAATGAATTACCAATTTTTTTTTGAAGGAATTATTACCCTTGGAAAAGCGATCCGCCAATCGACTAACAACCTGGTTCCTAATTACTGCAGGATAAACAGAGGTGTGTGGGGTACGGAAACTTGCCTAAGGTTTCACCTTGCCTGGGAATCGAACCCGGGTACTCTCGCTCGTAAGGCAAGTTTCACCAAACACTGAGCTACAGGACTCCAGTCTCGGCTGACACTTTTGTGCAGTGCTGCCAGATTGGTCATTCTATTCACGGCTGTTTGTCAGACGCTGCCTATGAACAAATTGGCTCTGCAAAATACAGTCAAGACACTTCACGGTGTTCCTGTGAAGTGCTCTGAGAAATCCACTCAATGTGAAAGACACAACATTAAATGCAAGGCTTTTTTTTTAAAAAATGATTGCATTGCAACATTTTGGTTTGGAGGGCGGAGGGCGGTGGGGGATTAAATTAACATCGAATGTGAGCCTCACTCTCCAAATCTATTAATCCAAGAAGTTGACAGCGATTCTGAGAAACACGCAGGCCAAGTCAGGTTACCAGAGATCAAACACGCATCGCAGAGCAGCTAAAGAGCAAGATGTCTGTCATTCAGACGGACAGCAAAGGGGCACGCTGCTCCATCTCTCTCAACAATCCCAAATGCACGGGCTTCAAGAGGCTGAAATGACAGTCTGCAACTTAAGGTCACAGTTGATGAGTCTCTTGATATAGAGGAGACTTTATAATTATAATAATAATAAACCTTGCATTTGATGCAGCGCCTTACCACGTCTTCGAGATGTCTCAAAGAGCTTCGCAGGAATACACTGTAAAGTGTAGTGACTGTATATTTTGCGGGATAAACATGGCAGCCAGTCAGCAGGATAACAGACACACCACTCTCACCACAACAAAGGTACAAGTTGGAAACTCACCACTCGAACGAAGGAGGAGACGTAATCCGAAGTGAAGCCCTCATTCCCAAATTTTCTCGGGATGCGTATCCGGTACAAGCCGTCCGTGCTTGCCAAGTCCTGTTGGGGAAGCCCAGCGACGGACAGATTAATAATGGCGTCTCGGAGGAGCTTACAGACCTTTGGGGGGGAAACCGGGGACAACAGACGCTCCCAGTACATTTCAGACAGGTCTTGAAGAAGGCAAGGGAGGGGGCGAGGCAGAGGAACTGCAGGATAGTTCCAGAGGGTGGGAACAGAGTGGCTGAAGGCCCCCCCCCACCAATGGCGGGGTGGGCGAGGTCGGGCACGTGAAGCAGACCGGAGCCCGCAAAGCAGAGGGACCGGGCAGGCTAGTTGGGGGTTAGGAGGTCACAGAGTAGAGGGAAAGCAAGACCGTGGAGGACTTTGAAGGTAAGGACCAGGATCTTGAACTGTACCCTCTGTGTGATGGGGTGCCAGTGGAGTTGGGCGAGGATGGGGGTGATAGGGTCCCGGGCTGCTGAGTTCTAGATGATTAGCAGCCTATGGAGAGGAGTTGGGGTGGCTAACAAGCAGGGAATTTGCATAGTCGAGCCGGGATGTTATGAATGCAAATCAGGGATAAACACAGGTGTATTATGCGCCATGTGGAATTCAGTGGGTATCAGTGGAGTTCTGTAGCTTGATGGTTAGAGCCCTCGCCTTGCAAGTGAGAGGACCCGGGTTCGATTCCTGGGCAGGGCGAAACCTTAAGCAAGTTTCCTTACTCCACACGCTTCTGGTTACCTAGGAGTAAGTAGGAACCTGGTTGTTAGTCGATTGGTGGATCGCTTTTCCGGGGGTAATAATCCCTCCCCCCAATAAATAATAATAATAATAATTTGGTCACTTAATCCACGACTGCTTGTGGGGACGCTGCTGTGCGCAACTGGCTACTGCGTTTCGCCCAAAAAATACAGTGTCAATTCACTTTCCTGTACATCCTGTGAAGCGCTTTGAGACGTCTCGAAGACGTGATAAGGCGCAAATTCAAATGCAAAGATTATTATTGTCTTTGTTGATTGCCATTCTTCAGGGCAGGCAACAAATCCAGTTTATTTACCCGCAGTTTATTTCTCTCCTCCTCCGTAAAGTGGTCTTGAGACAGTGAGATGGAGTTCTCCCGGCCCGGTTTCCACTGCAGCTGTCCCCTCTTTTTGAAGTGAACAATGTCACCTGGAGGGAAAGGGAAGACCTTGTTAACAGCTCTGCGCTTACAGAAACTAGGATGGAGGTGGGCAATGTAACTGGCAAAGCATTCATAATATACAGTCAACTCGCTTTACAGTACATTCTGTGAAGCGCCTTGAGATGTCTTGATATAAGGGGCCATATCAAATACAAGGATTATTATTATTATTATCACCCACTTCTTGACTGTTTGTAGGACTTCGCTGTATGCAAATTGAATGTCTTGTTTCCCTACAAAATACACCGTTTTTACTTTTAACCAAGCGTTGTTATAAGTCCACCTTCCTGGTCTCAGGCTGCGGTAAAGCATTCCGGGACGCTATCAGCGTGAAGGGCGCTATAAAAATGCAAGTAGTTGTTGTTGTGGTGTTTGAAGCCACCATGTCAGCCCATTGGCTCCGCCAAGACTTACCAAATTCGAACGAGTGCTCGAGGGGCACAGACACTCCCGTGACCTCATGTTCCAACGGGTCCCCAGGCTGCAACGCAAACACAATTCAGTGACCCACCTCTGGGGACGACAACAATAAATGACATTTACACGGCGCCTTTCCCGTTTGGAAGATATCCCAAGGCGCTGAACAGTCAGGGACTTGCACCCAAGCTGGGGATCGGGATCAGGAGGGGGTGGAGGGTAGGGGTAGGAGGGTGACCTAAGGCTCTTGAAAGAGGCAAGGGAGGGGGTGAGGTGAAGCAACTGTGGGATGCAGTTCCAAAGGGTGGGGGTAGAGAGGCTGAAGGCCCGACCGCCAATAGTTTGGTGGGCAAGGCGGGGGACGTGGAGCAGACAGGAGCCCGCTGAGCGGAGTGAGCAGACAGATTGGTATGGAGCGAGCATGTCACAGAGGCGTGGAAGGTTTTGACCTTCCAGCATATTGCATACAGGTCTCAGTGGCCTCTTTAGACACTAAAGATGCCATGATACTATTGGAAAACAGAAGGGAGTTTCTCTCTCCCCTAGTGCCCTGGCCAACAAATCCTCTAGATAAATTTATCATTCATTTCACGACTTTTGTGGGACATGGCTTGTGCAAATAGGATGCCAGGTTTCCCTACAAAACAACACAGCCACTACACTTCAAGCAATTACACGTGAAGTGCTCTTTTGAGGTTACAAGTACTTTATCAAATGCTATTAAAGTCTATCCTCACTGACTGGCTACAAGGCAACCAAGAAACTAAACACTTCTTATTTTAAGTTCCCTTTGTGGGTCATATGTTTGTTTGAAAGATCAACATTACTGGAGTTCCTCCAGACATCCTAATCTGGCTCTGTCTCCAAATGACACTCAACACGGAAGGGGGTTATTAATAAAGATCTACTGGAGAATAGCTTAATTATAGGCAAACTACAGCCAGGCCAGCAACCTGCTGCTACTATGGAAATTAAAACGCAAGTTCAGGGTATTAATAGCTCATTTTACAGAACAAAACAGTTCTGAATCGGGACGTAGCCAGAGTCACTGTTTGTGCTGACAGAAGGGACTAATTAAGTAAATCTAATATGTAGGTGGCAGTTTATAATAAGCCTTATATTTGATACGGTTCCTTTCACATCAGGACAACTCAGAATGTGCTTTGTGGAGAAAGCCATTTAGCCCCTCATGATTCTATTAGATCATGACTGAATTACCTGCCTTTGCCCCATACCCCTCGATACCCTGACCTAGCAAGAATTTATCCACCTCAGTCTTGAAATTTGAATCGATCTATAGGATTTACTGTAAAGTGGCTATGTACTTCTACGTGAATTTGGCAGCTAATTTGTACACAGCAATATCCCACAAACATGAAGGGAATGGCATTACGTGAATGACTGATTTTGTCTCAGGGATTGTTGGCCAGGACACCTGGAGAAACTCCTTCCTCGTTTCAAAGAGTGCCTTGGGATCTTTAACGTCCACCTGAACAGACACACACAGGAACATGGTTTAACGTCTCATCCGAAAGACTGCGCCTCTGACAATGCAGTGCTCCCCCCAGCACTGCAATGGAGGATCAGCTGTGAGCTCTGACTCTCAATGTGGGGACTTGAACCCACAATTTTCTGACTCAGAGGGCCAGAGTGTGAACGACTGAGCCAACCCCAGTAGTGCTTCTCAGGCACCAGCTGCCTAAGTGGCCATTATTAATATGTGATGCCAGTTACTGAGTGTTCAATCACTGGGACATCACCCTCTCCGTACAACAAGGGAATAATTCCAGTCATCAATTCCCTTCCCTTCACTGAACCCTCCCTAGCAAATAGGGACCCAGTTGTTAGTCGATTGGAAGATCGCTTTTCCAGGACTAATAATCCTTCAAAATAAAATAATAATGTGGTCCATCAATCCACAACTGTTTGTGGGACACAGATGTGCGCAATTGGCTCCGGGTTTCGCCCGCAATACACACGGTCACTACACTTTACAGAGTAAACAGTGAAGCGCTTTGAGACTTCATGATAAGGTGCTGTATCAAATGTAATAATTATTATTATTATAACTGGCCGCTTAAAATCAACCGCCAGCACGAAGGGCATTGAGACACGTTGGGAAACTATAATATATAGTGTTGCCTTACGGCTTTGAGACGTCTCAAAGCACTTTCAAGATAAACCTTAAAGTGCAGTGACTATATATATATATATAGTGGGCGAAACATGGCAGCCAATTGCACAACAGCGTCCCATACAAACAGTCACGGACTGAGTGAGGCTACACCTCGCTTCGCAGGATACACCGTAAAGTGTAGTGACTGTGTGTGTTGTGTGGGCGAAACGCGGCAGCCAAATGCGGTCGGCGATGCCCGTGGATGGAGCGACCCGAATTATTGAGTTGGAAGGGATTATTACCACCCCCCCAACCCCCAACAAATCAAACTGCTACTAATCACCAGCCAACTGTAAGCAGCGCCTTTTAAACAGAATTAAAACTTCACTTTCTTGCCTCGCGTTTATTATACCCCTCGATACCCTGAATGTTGTTATAAATTCACTTTCCTCTCAGTTATAACGACAACAACAACGATAAACAATAACAACAATGACCACCGCCAGCCCGGGGTTCGGCACGGCGCCCCTTATCGCGCCGTCGAGACGGCTCAAAGCGCTTCGCAGGACAACGCCGTGAAGTTGCGGTGACCGTGCGCGTGGCGCCCAGCGAGGCACAACAACAACAACAACAACAAGATTCCATTCATAGAGCGCCTTTCACGTCGGGAGGATGTCCCGAGGCGCTGGAGGTACCCGCGAACAGCCGCGGAGTGAGCGAGCGGCACACACCCCCCGCCCCCACCGCGTTATGTTTTGCCTGTGAGGGGATTGCGAACCCCCCCATCGACCAACAAGAACAACAACAACTTGGATTTACATAGCGCCCTCCCACCCCGGACAGCATCTCAGATCGTCGCCCCCCCCACATCCCTCCCCACCCCCCCCACATCCCCTCCCACCCCCCACATCCCTCCCCACCCCCCGCCCGGCGTGGAGGGCGCTGTATAAAGCCAAGTTGTTGTTGTTGTTGTCGTCTCAGAGTACAAGCGGGTTCGTGCCTCGGGGCCCAGAGGAAACCCTCCTGAGGTTTCGCCCCCCCACCGCCCCCCGTGAGGGGTGAAGTACGAGACGCCAACGCTCCCGGACATGTTTGTCCCTCAGGACCTCCCTCACCGCTACCCCTGACCTGACCTGACCTGACCTGACAGGCCTGAAGCGCTGCCCCGGTCTCCAACCCGCCCCCACAGGCCTCGGCCCGGCCCCCGCCTCGCCCCGCATCCCCTCCGCATCCCCACCCGCTCGCTCACCCGCCTGGAGTTGCCCAGAGCCGGGGCCCCGCAGCCCAGGAGGACCAGGCAGCTCAGCAGGGCCGCCCGGCCTCCACATCGCGCCGCCGCCGCCATGACACCTGCTCTTGTTCCCGCCTCTCGGGGAGGTGGGGGGGGAGCGAGGCATGCTGGGATACTGGAGGACCAGCCGCGGTCCTCCCAGCCCGGGGGGGGAGGGGCGGCACGGCGGCACGCATGCGCCCTGAGGCCAAGGTGGGAACTCAGCCCCACGTGGGACCCAAACACATCAACACAACGTAAACACTCACAACAACAACAACAACAATAACAACGACGACGACAACAACGATAATAATAATAATAATAATGATAATAATACTGATAGCACTGATCCCGGCATTGGACCCGGCGCTCTCATCACGTCTTCGAGACGTCTCGAAGCGCTTGGCGGGATACGCCGTCGAGTGTAGTGACTGTGTGTGTGTGTGTGTGTGTGCGTTTTGTGGGAGAAACGCGGCAGCCAATTGCGCCCAGCGACGTCCCCCACCCCCACCCCTCCCACACCCCCTCACACACACACACACACACACAAACAGCCGTGGGTTGAATTGAAGTGACCCAATTATTAGTCTTATTGTTTTCTTCTTTCTTGTTGAAGGGATTATTATTACTCCGGCAAAAGCCATCCGCCAATCGACTAACAACCGGGTTCCTACGTACTGCTGGCACGTGTGTCTGTGTCTGTGTGTGTGTGTGTGTGTGTGGAGTAAGGACTTGCCTAAGGTTTTGCCCTGCCTTGCGAGGTGACTGCTCCAACTACCGAGATACAAGTTGTTGTCATCCAAGGGGTGATCTTATGTATGTGTGTGTGGGGACGGGAGTGGGGGAAGAAGGGGGAGAAATGTGGGGGACAGAGTGGGAGAGGCATAGTGATGAGCAAAGCATTTTTTGCTTAAGGGAATCGAACCCAGGTCTCTCGCTCGCGAGGCAAGTGCTCTAACCACAGGCCTCATTAAACAACATGCGGAACTCAACAACCACAACACCGACAACATCAAGATTGCATTTATAGAGCGCCTTTCACGTCGGGAGAACGTCCCAAGCCGCTGGACAGTCAACGCACCAACGTGTGGCAATGAAGAACCTATTCCAAACTCGGGAGCATCAGATGAATAATAAGATAACGTTGTGTATCGTACAACCTGGCTTAGTGTCGTTCTGCCCTTACCTCAGCGATATCCTGCATTTAGGTCTGGCTATTATTATGAGCCATCTAACCCTCCCTGCCACCCTCCTCACCCCATTCCTCTTAAAAAGCAAACTTTGTGTGAAAATGCAAAGTTGGAAAGACTCGGTGTGAGGGAAGGTCAAACCGTTAATGAGCTCGCAACCTTCATTTGCAAGGCTGCTTGACATCAGTATCTTGGCGTCAGCATTGAGGCAAAGCAACGTGCAAGCTGCAGGCCCATCTCATTGCAATACTGAGCAGCAGAATGCCCTTCCACCCCGTGTTGAGTAACTTCTCACCCCTGATTGTTAAATAGAGATTGCAGATGGCTGACGGCTCCTCTCAGGGCTGTGAGGCCGCAGGAAAGCTTCCCAGACAGCGATAGGGCAAGGTAGGCGGGTTTTAGCAGTTGCCCCTACGTGCACTCCGTGGCTAATACCTGATGTGTCCCTCCAGGGAGAGAGAGAGGGAGAGAGAGAGAGAGAGAGAGAGAGAAAGGGCACGCATACCATTCCAACAATCTATCTCTGGAATTGCCATGTGTCGATGGGATGCATGGAATTCTCAGCTTGGTTTGGATACTCTTAGGCATGGTGTTTCGGCATGTGTCAGACACCCGGTAACGTAAAAAAAATTGGTGGTTTACTTCTTGGCTGTTCGTGGGATGTTGCGTTTCGCCCACAAAATACACAGTCAAAACCATTTTACAGTGTATCCTATGAAACGCTTTGATACGTCTCGATGACATGACTCTATATCAAACGTAAGCATATTATTATTATAAGCGATCGATACGCTTTACAGTGAAATCCTGTGAAGAGCTTTGAGAATCCCTTCTGACACTCACATCAAAAGCAGGAATTATGAATAATATTATTATTATTAATAAACAAAAAGATTCTGATGAACCCTCGCTGCCTCTCTGGGTTTGGTAGATAAAGAAAGAACAAGAATGAAGCTGTTTCGCTTCTAAGGTTTATTTTTTACTAACAATATAACCGGGATTATGGAGACAGACACAAGGCAGAGCACTGCATGCCATTGAGTACAATAATCGTGGCAACATACAAACACGCAGGGTCCTTTCCGTGGTCAAAGAGGGACATAGTCGCTTTCGCCCTTCTTCACTGCCGGGCAATGCATCACTCCCAAACCCCCGGAGCTCTGCAACGCCGGACCCAAGCTGGCTGTGGACCACAGGGGTAAAGGTTCAGACATGTGGGCACACAGTGACGCAGGTTGGCATCATGCCGGCTTGATCATAATGGGCGTGAGGGTGTTACAGCAGCACGGGGCAAGGCTGGAGGGGGCGGGGTGGTGTGGGGTTCGGGGGGAGAAATGGGTTGGGGAAGAGGGTGATGGGTTGGGGGAGTGAGTGAGAGGATGAGTGAGAGGATGAGTGAGTGATGAGAGAGCGAGCGAGCGAGTGAATGAGTGATGGGTTGGGGAGTGAGAGAGAGTGAGAGCGCGAGAGAGTGAGTGAGTGAGAGAGAGGGTGATGGATGGCGGAAGAGGCTATGTAAAACTCACCTGAATGTGATACTACATTCCACGAGATGCCCTTTACTGAGGCACTGTAACAAGACAAGAGAGAAATTGTTCAATTGAGATCAGCTCAGCACAGCCTGGCTCAGTTGGTAGCGCCTTTCACGTTGGGAGGACGTCCCAAGTCACTGGACAATCAGGGATTGGGATCAGGATGGGGTGGAGGGCCAGGGAGGTTGGGGGGTAGGTGGGTGACCGAAGGCGCAGTCGAAGAGGAGGGTCTTGAGACAGGCCTTGGAAGGGGGCAAGGGAGGGGGCGAGGCGAAGTGAGTGTGGGATGGAGTTGGCAGGTGGCGTGGAGAATGACGGAGGCTGCTGAGGGGAGGGTTGATATGGGGGGTTGGGAAACGGGGGAGTGGGGTGGGGGTGGGGGTTTAGCAGGTCACAGAGGTAGCAGAGCGAGATGCGGAGGTGAAGAGGGACATGAATGTGGATGCGGCGATTTAAGACGTACTCCTGACTTCCAGTTTGCATTCCACCTCGTCCTCGCCCAGGTCATTGATGGCCTTGCAGGTGTATTTCCCCCCATCAAAGGTGCTGGGTTTGCGGATCTGTAGGGTCAACACCCCCTCGTTGTGACGCATCAGGAATTTGGGGTCACCTGACAGATCCATTTTGTTTTTCATCCAAACAATCTTTGGCTGATCAGAGAGAGAGAGAGAGGCAACAAGTCACTCGTTTAACATGGAGTCCAGTGTTCAGCGGTTAGAGCGCACACCTCGCAAGGGAGAGGACCCGGGTCTGATTCCCGGGCAGGGGGCAACCTTTCCTGACTCCGCACACACCCACACACCTCTGTTTATCTCGCTGTAAGTAGGAACCCGTTTCTTATTTGATTGGCGGATCGCTTTTCCGGGGGGGGAGTAATTCCTTAATAATAATAATAATTTGGTCACTCAATCCACGGCTGTTTGCGGGGACCGCGCTGCTGTGCGCAATTGTCTGCCGCGTTTCGCCCACAAAATATACATACACTACACTACAAGTATACACCAGAAAATTTCACTCCATTTGTACAGTGTATCCGGTGAAGCGCTTTGAGACGTCTCGAAGACGTGATAAGGCCCTGTGTCAAACACAAGGATTATCGTATTGTTTGCCCGAATCGCGACATCGAACAGTAATGAGTGTGCGGCAGAGATCGGACACTCTTATGAGCCACAGGATATACAGTCCTGGTCTGCAGTCAGGGGCTGGAGCCTCACCTTCGGGTTTCCTCGCACAGAGCAGCTGAGCTTGGTCGTGTAGCCGGCCACCACTGACCGATCCAGCAATGGCTGCGTAAACTTGGGAGCGTGGTTAAAATCGTGCTCCTTGAACGGTGGCGGTGAGTAGTCCTTACCTGGGACACAGAGAGAGAGAGAGACAGACAGACAGACAGACAGACGAGAGAGAGAGAGAGAGAGAGAGAGCAAATTGACCAAAAACACGTTGGAAAAGAGACTTTCTCGAAAGGTGGGGAGTGAAAGAGGGTGAGTGGGACGGAGCGAGGGAGCGAGAGAGCGAGTGAGGGAAGGAACGAGGAAGAGGAGGAAACCAAAGAGCAGGAGTGAGGGAGCAAGGGAGGAGTAATAATAATAATAATAATCCTTGCATTTGATATAGCGCTTTTCACGTCGGGAGGACGTCCCAAAGCGCTTCACAGAACACACTGTAAAGTGTAGTGACTGTATATTTGTGGGCGAACGCGGCAGCCAATTGCGCACAGCAATGTCCCACAAACAGTCGTGGATTGAAAATGACCGATTTATCATTGTTTTGTTTGGGAGGGAATATTATTAGGGCTCTGTGTGGAGTAAGGAAACTTGCCCAAGGTTTCGCCCTCTGCCGGGGATTGAACTCAGGTCTCTCACTTGCAAAGCGAGTGCTCTAACGACAGGACTCCACGAGTAAAGGAGGGAGGAAGCGGGGGAGGGCGGGAGGAGAGAGAGAGAGAGAGAGAGAGAGAGTGCGCTCTCACTGGTTTTCTGGATGAAGGCTGTATTCTTTGACTGTTGAGGTGTGTCGCTCAGGCCACACAGGTTCTCACTGTACACGCGGAATAAATACTCGTTGCCCATGATCAGATCGGAGATGGTGCAGTTGTGCCGGCGATTGTGCTCGTAAACCGTGAACCATTCCTGAGAGACGGAGGGAGCGAGAGAGTGAGACGGAGAGAGTGAGGGAGAGACAGAGAGAGAGTGAGACAGAGAGCGTTAGTGAGAGTCAGAGAGAGAGAGAGTGAGACGGAGAGTGAGAGAGTGAGACGGAGAGAATGAGCCAGAGAGCGTGAGGGAAACGGAGAAAGAGTGTGTGAAGGTGTGTGTGAGTGTGTGAGAGTGTGAGTGTGCGTGAGAGTGAGTGTGTGAGAGAGTGTGAGTGTGTGTGAGAGTGTGAGTGTGAATGTGTGAGAGTGAGTGTGTGAATGTGTGAGTGTGAGTGTGTGTGAGAGTGTGAGTGTGTGTGAGAGTATGTGAGTGTGTATGAGTGTGTGAAAGAGTGTGAATGTGTGAGAGTGTGAGTGTGTGAGAGAGTGGTGTATCTGAATGTTTGTGTAAGAGTGTGAGTGTGTGTGAGTGTGTGTGAGAGAGTGTGTGAGAGTGTGTGTGTGAGAGTGTGAGTGTGTGTGTGAGTGTGTGAGAGGTGAGTGTGTGTATGTGAGAGTGTGAGTGTGTCTGAATGCTTGTGTAAGAGAGTGCGTGAGAGCATGTGAATGTGTGTGAGAGAGTGTGTGAGAGAGTGTGAGAGTGTGAGTGAGTGTGAGAGAGTGTGAGAGTGTGTGAGTGTGAGTGGTGTGTGAGTGAGTGAGTGTGAGAGTGTGAGTGTGTGTGAGTGTGTGTGAGTGAGTGTGTGTGAGAGTGTGTGTGAGTGTGTGTGAGTGTGTGTGTGAGTGAGTGTGAGTGTGTGTGAGAGTGTGTGTGAGTGTGTGTGAGTGTGTGTGAGTGTGTGTGAGAGTGTGAGTGTGTGTGAGTGTGTGAGTGAGTGTGAGTGTGTGAGAGTGTGTGTGAGTGTGTGTGAGTGTGTGTGAGAGTGTGTGTGAGTGTGAGTGTGTGTGAGAGTGTGTGTGAGTGTGTGTGAGTGTGTGTGAGAGTGTGAGTGTGTGTGAGAGAGTGAGTGTGTGTGTGAGTGTGTGTGAGTGTGTGTGAGTGTGTGAGAGAGTGTGAGAGTGTGAGTGAGTGTGAGTGAGTGTGAGTGTGTGTGTGTGATGTGTGGCGGGGCTCACCATGGTCTTTTTATCCGCTTCTGGATGAAGTAGCCGATGATATCCGAGTTGCCGTTGTCCTTTGGGGCTTTCCACTCCAAAGCAGCATTAAACCCCCAAACATCTGTGATGGTCACTGCCAGAGGAGGGCCTGGTTTCTCTGTAATCACCCGCCATCACCAACATCAGCCCAGCCACAACCTCCCAGACCCACCCAACCCCAACCCAGCCCAACCCACCCCACCCCAACTCAACCCAATGCAGCCCAACCCAACCCCCAGCCAACCCAACCCAGCCCAACCCACCCTAACCCAACTCAACCCAACTCCAACCCCCTGCCAACCCAACTAAGCCCACCCCAACTCACCCCAAACCCAACTCAACCCAATGCAGCCCAACCCAACCCAACTCAATTCCAACCCCCTGCCAACTAAGCCCACCCCAACTCACCCCAACCCAACTCAACCCAATGCAGCCAACCCAACCCCCAGCCAACCCAACCCAGCCCACCCCAACTCAACCCAACTCAACCTAGCAGAGAGTGTTAGTAACAATAATCCTTCCATTTATCACGGCTTTGAGACGTCTCAAAGCGCTTCACGGATTATACCATACATATTTTGTAGGCGAATCATGGCAGCCAAATGCCCACAGCAGTGACCTACCAACAGTTAATAATAATAATAATACAGTTGTGGATGGAGTGCCCAAATTATTGTTATTTTATTTTTTTGAAGGGATTATTACCCCCGGAAAAGCGATGTGTCAATCGACTAATAACCGGGTACCTTCTGGGTAAACAGGTGTGTGTGTGTGTGTGTGTGCGGCGTAAGGAAAGTTGCCTAAGGTTTCGCCCTGACCCGGGGAATCGAGCACGGGTCCTCTCGCTTGCGAGGCGAGGGCTCTAACCCCCGAGCTACGGGGACTCCAAGAGCGTTACAGTGAAGGGGTGTATAGAGATGGTTAGAGTGAGATGTACACAGCACCAGAGAGTATCAGCTTTTATGGTGAGCTGTGTCTGGAATAGTTGAGCTCCATCCAGCCTGACCTTTCTGACTCTGCAGTATTTGGTGTATGTGTGTGTGTGTGGGAGGGATGGGGGCTCTCACTGCATTGGCTGAGACCTCATGTTCTTCCACCCCCCCTCCCCACTCTTTCCTCAACCCCCCCACCCCCCACCAACCCGCTCGCTACAGCAATTCTCCAAGTATCAGTGTGTAAACCAATCCCTCTCTGGCTCCCAAGCTTTGATTCCCACCTCTAGAATTCTCTATATCTCTCTCTCGACCCAGTATTGCTTGCACGTCCCACCTACCGCTTGCTCGGAGCAGGACGGAAAGTTCCAGAACTCCAGCGCGAACCGTGAGACAGTCTACGTCA